AAGTTAGATCATCTGCACTTGCACTTCTGCAAAACTCCTCCACTTTGACCCCCAATGATGCTTTATATCTGGAAGTACATTCGGTCAAAATGGGTATTATGCAGAAGGAAACAATTCTTATCTTGGTATTAACTGTTACCATGATTAGGTGCAGCAGTGTTAGTGTTCCTTGATATCCAGTATCATCTCAAAGGTAATGTTTCCATTTCGGCTCAAAGGGAGGGAATGACTCAATTAAGTGAGTGTTGGCTGTGGTGAGGCTTAAGAAAGGAGGTGACCCCCTTTTTAGGAATATCAAATTGCCTTCATAGCTTTTCTCAGCATCAAGATGCAGTGTGGCATCGATTTCATCTGTCACCCTTTCCCCTCTTAGACTGTATTTCATAAAAAGTGGAATCTATCTATATGTCAAAGTATGTTTGTCTGTTTCTACTACAAAGGCTGCTGCTAGGTTCTGGCCCTCTGTGATGTTTCTAGATTGGCTGTTGTTGGGTAAAGTGGACCTCTGTTATGTCACTAGGAAAGAAAGGTAACATGCATTTGAGGGGAAGGGAGGAAGGAAGGAAAGAGCCCCAAAGAGACATTCTCTCAAAGCTGGATAAGGGAGAAAGAAAGAGAGAGAAAAGAAAAAGAGAGAAAAAGAAGGGAAAGAAAAGAATGGAGAAAGGAGGGAGGGAGAAAGGAGAAAGAAAAGGGAAGGAAGAAAGGAAAAGGGAAATGATATGAGGGGGTGGAATGAGAAAGAAGGATGAAAGCAGTGGGGAAGCCGCTCTTCCAACACCTGAATAACACTGGGTATATATAGTAGGTTTTTCATATAAGACAACTTATAATCAAAGAGATAGATAAATAGATAGATAGATAGATAGATAGATAGATAGATAGATAGATAGATAGATAGATAGATAGATAGATAGGATACCAACTATTGGGAGCAAAAATCTTTTGTTTATGGCAGGCCTGCACATCCTTTGGCCCTCCAGGTGTTTGGGCCTCTAATTCCCACAAGCTCAGTTTGTCCAGTGCTAGGGAATTCTGGGAGCTGAAGTCCAAAACATCTGAAGGACCACAGGTTGTGCAGGCCTGGCTTATGGTGTTAGATACATCTGGTTGACCACTGTGGGAAAGAGGATTCCGGACTCACTCACCTTTTGGCTTGATCAAGCTAAGCATTGCTAAGATCCCTAAGCCACAAGGAATGGAAATACCTGTTGATTGCTACTTTCAAAGGAGCCAAACACAGCATCAAAAGGTCATCCCATCCCATCCAGATTGACTTAGGAAGACTTGCTTTTCTTGTGGAAACCCATTGTACTTAGCATATCTGATGAATATCTACTGCAGTCTGGAACCATGGGGAGATTAATATCACTTAGGGGGAGCTATACTCTGAGAAATTCAAGATGAGATCTTACTAGGCTCTGTCAGATGTCATGTGGCTTTCTAGCAGCTTTAAATTGTAACTGTCTGTCCAGATACATGCAGTTTATTTTTTCAAATGAAGCAGACATTCATAGGGATACTAAGTTGCTTGTTTATAAAGCTATTATCCTACCAATTCTGTTGTAGTCCTGTGAAACATGGAGTTTCTACAAGCATCACTCTCGACTTCTGGAATGACTCTCTCAGTCTTCGAAAAATCCTCCAAAACTCTTGGAAAGACAGACAGACAAATGTTAATGTTCTGGAAGAAGCAAAATCCAACAGCATTGAAGCAATGATCGTCCATCATCAACTTTGCTGCACTGGCCACCTTGTCTGAATACCCCATCACCTTCTCCAAAAGCAGTTACTACTTTGTTCTCAGCCCAAAAACGGCAAACAGAATGTGGACAGTAAAAGAGGTTTATAGATGGACTTAAAGCAAACCTTTGAAAATGTGGAATAAACACAGAGAGAGAACTGGGAAGCCCTGGCACTTGAGCGTCTAAGTGGGGATCAGCTGTTACCAACAGAACTACAGATTTTGAAGAGGCACAAATCGATGGCGAAAGAGAGAAACGAGCCAAAAGAAAGACAGCGTCTCAGGCAAACCCTTGTCAGGACCTCCGTCCATCTGAAAATCCATGCCCTCACTGTGAAAGAAAGACAATGTGAATCCAGGTCTTCACAATCACTTACGAAGCCACTGCCAAGATTCTACCTCTGGAAGACAATCATATTTGGCCACGAGGGATCTCCTATGATGATGACATCTATGCTTATTTGCTGTGAATGAATGATTTTGCTTCTACCAATTCATTCATGATCAAAGAAGCTTTGAGAGTCATTGAAATCTCTACAACTGTCCAGCCTACACAGCTAGTTAGATACTATTTGTCCATTTTCATTCATCATGAGAACTCAAAAATCAATTGCTGTTTTTTAAAAATAAAATGTCCTCTGGTGTTCTCTAAGGTTGTTTAAATTTAGCACAATAGCAAATTCCACCCTTGTTTAGCCCTTTTATGGAATCCTAGGAGATCAACAGCTGTTATCATAATCAGAGGTATTGTTTCTGAAAGCTTTATCTCCATTGTTAGAATGGGGCAATCTACTTTTAATTCAAAGGCCACACAGTGGCGTTTGAAAACGTATCAAAAAAGTGAGCCACGTGCATCAGAACAAATGCATGGTATTATGCACTGATTAGTCACATTTTATCATCTGTAAAATGGGAATATTTAGTACCGACTGTTTCAGAACTATGGAATATAGCAACCAGGTCAGACTATCCTTCTAACACAGTATTGTCTTCTCCACGATGGTTGCTTTCCTTGGTCTCAGGCTGGGAAACTGCTTTCTTATTACCTGCTACCTGGCGCTGTTTTATGCTGGAGATGCTGTGACTTTATGTGCTATAAAATGAGTGTCCGTGTTCTGTGCTCTTGGTGCTGAATTTGTACATAAATGGTTTGCAGCAGTAGTTCAAGAGGGAAATAATGAAAAAAGATGAAATGCCACGGATATTGTATTTGTTCATTCTTTTTCCTCTCTGATGAAGTCTTTTAAGCTGCAAGGGACATTTTTCATGATAACATAAAAGAGTCTTACAATGGTGTTTGGTGGGTATTGGATTCAGAAAAGAATGTCCCGGGACACACATTCTCTGGGTTCTCCTCTCAGCCCTTAGATCAATTCCTAATTAGCCCTATGTTCATGTCTCCACAGTGCAATTTCTTGTCAGCATTCTCAGTCCGCATAAACTCAATGTGTATTGTTGTTGTTATTCTGACACAAAAACACAATATGACACAGCAGACAAGATATACCATATTTTCTGGCGTATAAGACGACCCCTAACTTTTCCATCTAAAATTAAGTGTTTAGGATATACTCGCCATATAAGACCACCCCTCTTTTTTGTAGTAGCTTGAGAGAGCTTCTCTTCGGGCTTGAAGGTCATCTTCTACCAGAGGCTCATGGCAAGGGAGAGCCAGCATAGGGCAGGGGCGGGAACAGCCCAGCAGTCTCCATAGCAATGCGGCTTGCCGCTCCTCCTCCCCGCGTCCTCCCTCCGCTCTTCTGCTCCTCCCTCCCCCCTCCTTCTCCTCCTGCTGCGCCTGAGCAGGAGGAGAGCTTTCTTTGCTCCAGGCTTGAGGGTCGTCTTCTGCTGGAGGCTCATGGCACTAGGCCAGCGGCGGCGGGGACAGCCCAGTGGTCTCCATGGTAATGCGGCTTGCCACTCTTCCTCCTTGCGCCCTCCTCCCTCCCTCCTCTTCCTCCTCAGGCCGTGCCACTCGGGACGCTGAGGGCGAGAGAGGCAGGCAGCTGCCCTCTTGCTGGAGCAGGGCACCCAAAGCAGCTTCTGCTGCTGCGCCCTTCCGGCACTGCTTGGCTCCCTCTGTCGGGCTTCAGTTTCCCCTAGGGGCTCCTCCACTACATGCCCACCTCAGTGGCGGTGACGGAGGAGGAGGAGGTGACATGAGGGAGCCACTGGGTGACGGAGAGGAGGAGGAGAAGCCGCCTGGAAGACTTGAGGCTTTTGCTTGGCATCCTTGCCGAAGTAAGCACCCACCCTTTAAGCAACATTTACTCATCCCTTCCAAAATATTTAATATTATAAATTTTATACCCTGCATATTAGACAACCCCCGACTTCTGAGAGGTTTTTCCAGGGTTAAAAAGTCATCTTATATGCCGGAAAATACGGTATATGCCGGGCTTTCTGAAAGCTTTATATCAATTGCTAGAATGGGGCAATCTTTATTTATTTATTTATTTATTTATTGTATTCTACGAGTCAAAGTGGCTCACAATAAAACCAATACAATACAAATTAATTCCTAATATGTGTATGGGCAGTCCCTATTCCCTGCCAGCTTCAAGTAGGGTAATTATAACCCTTATGTATTTTTTTCTGCAATGAAAGATTATCCTTATGCTCACCTGCTCTCTCTATTCCTCTCCTGCACCCAAATTGGCTTCTAATACTGTATTTCATCTAATCTAAGGTGCACTTTTTTCCTGTTAGCAGCTTCAAAAACAGGTTCCGCCTTAGATTCCGTGGCTCCTGAAATTATTTGTTTTGGGGGATGGTTTTGAAAAAATGGTTTTACTACTCAAGGGGGAGGAGGAGGAAGGGCTCCAGCCCCAAATGACTCTGCCAGGCTCCCCATCATTTTGTCCTCAGCCCCAGCTAGATTGCTGTTTCCTGGTATTTTAGCAAAGTGCCTCTTCCTGCTTCTGCTGCTTCCCCAACAGTCCCATAGACTTAGTAAAATAGACTCATACAGACAAGATGACTTCCTGGTTTCTTCCCACTCCCTCCTCACTCCACAGGAAAGATTGCACTACAAAGCCAAATTGAAACAAAAACAAGGCATTGTGCATGCAGAGGAAATTCTAATAAATATTCTTAGAAAATTGTATTTTTCCAAAATCAAAGCTTCACAAACTCGGTGCACCTTACATTACGTGAAACGTAGTATATCTGTACACAAAATACCCTATTTGAACACTATTGAGAGCGATGGTGGGGATTTATTCCAATGACTTTCTTTTATGTTTGCCTTGCCCAGGAGAAAGAAAGGAATGCTCGCAGAAAGAAGAAAAACCCTGCTGCCCAAAACGAGGAGGCGGCTTTTCCTCCAGCGGCTGAAGATGAGGAGATGGGGCAAGATGGATCAGGCACCAGCGGCAATGAGGAAGAGATGGCCGAGGAGGCAGAAGGTAAGATCCTTTTAGCTCAGGGTAAAGGGCTCTCCAGAATCTCTTGGAGGTAGGCAGCTGAGCAAATCAGCAACACACATACACTCAGTATTTTCTACCAAGGGGACTGGCGTGAGAGGCTTTCTCTGTAACCCAGGAAATGTCACTGCGTCCAATGTGTCTGCATGAACAGTTACCAGCAGGGAGGAGGAGAACTGGACACCCTGAGGATATGTGAGGGTGAAACTTTTGCACAGTGCCAGAGATGCAGAACAGCTGACATTTGACTTCCTTCACTTATGCCGGAACAGCAAAGCACCATTGTTGATTGCGCACATGCATTTTCTTCGCAAAGTCTTGGCTGTTTCTTAATTCAAGGGGAAAGGGTATCCTCCAGAAAGCCCAACAATTTCTAAGTGTACATTCACCATTCACAATATTGCCAGCACTATATATACCAATACAATTTTCTGTTTTGATCCTTTTTAAATTTTTTCTCTTTGAATTGGCTTACTAAAAATAATATTTCATGGTCTGTCTTGGAGATCCTCCTCTCCTAGCCACTGCATGCTTAAGTCTCAAAGCTAAGGGCAAGATTGCTACTCTCTTTTCTTACCATCTGTTCATAATTTCATATGTTGTGAAGTCACAGCTCAGCAAATTTCCCCTTGCTCCACCAGTGACATCCAATGAAAGTGTGTGATCGGGAGGAATACTGAGCTCTGTCATACTAGTAAGTGCTTCTAGATGTCACAGAGTGGCAATGGAGCGTAATGCGCAATTGCTATTTAATTTCACATACTTTGTGCCCTCCAAACATAGTTCTGCATACTTTGCAGCCAACAAACAAGGCAAGACAATGTGCATCAATGTACTTTTTTTCACCCAGTGTGCAGGGACCAGTGCCATATTTGTGCCAATTTCCTAGTTGTTTCTTTCTTTCCTGGAAGCTTGCCAGAGTCCAGCAGCCAGCAGCTTCTGGAATTGGCACCAGCCCATGGGTCACCACTTTGAGTAGCACTAATGTAGGATATGTCTTCCCATTCCAGGCAAGCAGGTTTCATTGCACAGTTGGCATGAGGAAGAGGGAAAGGATAACACGAAAATTGCCAGTCTTTGCTATTTCTCCCTAGGGAATAGAACCAGTAAGCTTGAGGAAAGCACTTGTAATTTATAAGAATCACCCCATTTAACTTCTGTGGGAGTGATTTAATAACCCAACAAATCCCGCCCCCGGCCCTGGAGAGAAGGACTAATAGCATATGCAACTGGAAATCCTTTCAAGCTAGTGTTGAAAGTGACTCATTGCAAAGTGGTTTCCAGGTAAATCTTCTCTGCTGTAGCAATAGGTAGGGGGAAAGATGGATTGAATTCAGACTGGGATGTAACAGCAGGCTTACCTTTTAAGAATACTCTCTGAACATGAGGCAGGTTGACTTCGAAGCTTTGCAATCCACATCAGTTCTACATAATTTGAGGCAAAGCACAGGGCTAAGGGTCATATCCAGAGTGGAATATTGATGCGAACAGACCTTTGAGCCCAAGGTGGCTCAAATGTCATAGGAGCAGAAATGTCAGGTCAGCCTTCTGCCTCAGCAGTTTATCATTTGACATTTGAGAGGCATTTCTGCATAGTGAATACTAAGAATGGTGTGTGTGTGTTTGTGTCTGTCTGTCTATCTGTCGGTTCATAAAGGTCTTGAGAAGATTTCGTCACACCCGGCCTTCTCCAGCATTTCTCAAGTTACCCTTCTGAACTCCCTCTGCTTTACTAGTTTCCTTAGTTCTTCTGAATCATCTGCCTCTTGCAACAGATTCACAGTATCAAATACTTTCTCTGGCCACTCACTCTCACCATTTCAAAGCAGTCTTTCTTGAAATAGATTAGATTTCTACCTAATCATCACTGGTGTGTTTGGTTCTTTCCATCTTTGAGCATAGATTATTCTTGTTGCCATAGTCATATATAACATTTGCCTTCCTCATTTTCAATCACCCTTTTTACTTTTCTTCAGCAAAGATGGGGCCAAATCCCCATTATTATTATTTTTTATTAGAAGAGTGTTATCTTATGGGGAAAGGATGTATTAATGGTTTTTCTTTAAGGGAGCACGGAAAATTGAGAGAATGAAGCCATCTGGCAAAAAATGTAAAGCCAATACAAGAAGAAAATGTAAAAAAAAAAACTTGTTGAAGCCATAGCTCAAACTCTGCAATCTTGTAACCAGAAATGGACTCACACACATAATAGAGTTGGGGCTAAAACCACATTAGCCTAAATATTGCAGATTCCTTCAACGTTGTTTGTTTTGAGAGAAGAGCAGAGGGTTGTTTTTTGATAGATTAATGACAGGTAAATCAACTTCAGTGATGTGCAGGATTTGGAATTTGGCTGGAGATGCCAAAAATGTGAAATGCTTTGAGGTTTATTCAGACTGTATGAATCTTGTTCTTCTTTGAGGTGGTCCAGCATAGGCTCCCAGAGTACTTTCCTTCCCTTTCACAAGAGCGATGTCTGTGGGAAATTCCTGCCTCCAAACTAAGTTTTGTTAATATATTTCAATTCCCCCAGCGAATATGTTTTGAGCCAAAATAATCTCAGACTACAAATAGCTCACTTTCTGTTTGGATCCCGTAGCACCTGGAAAAGTCTGGATGTGTTACAAGATGCAATGAGCTCACTTCCAAGTTTCCATTCCAAGAGCCCACAGTTCTGGCTTCATGCCTCAGGTTCTTTTCCAGCTTTGACAACACTTGAGGAAATCACCAGTTTGAAACCAGACACAGAAATGCAGTCCACCACCATTTTGGTTTCTTTTCTGGACATGATCCCAGAGTTAGAGCAGGATGTAGACTCAGTCCCTTCCATTTCACCAAATTTCAAAATCTTGTATGAGCCAAGAAAGAATATATAAAGACACCTCATGTGTTTGCCTTTCACTGTGTCAGAAATACTGGATTCTTCTTCATGGTCTGTATGCATCACACATTCTGTGCCTGCATGGCACTTGATAGGAATGTTCAGAAGTTGGAAAAACGTTTGGCAGGTAACCAGCCCACTTGTGCACATGAGAAGATGTATCTCCTCTTCCCATTCAGTTGCCAGCACTATATTTCAGAAATACCTCTAACAAGCATTTGATAGATGAGTGCATTCTTGTGTGGAAAGTTCTGTGTTCAATCTGCATGTCTCTCCATAAGCAAAGATGGCAATATGCGGCCCATAAACAGCATGTGATGTTTCTTGTCTGTTTGTTTTTTTGTGGGGTTTTTTGGCAACACTTATTTATTATTATTTCCAATATTTCTATCCCATCCTTCTCAACGCCCGAAGGGGGACTCAGGGCAGCTTACAACGGCAGCAATTTGATGCCAACAATATACAACACATTACAACAACATTATACAAGAGAAAAAGCATTAGACTAAATACATTAAAATATTCATCATAGCCAAGTCCAAATCTAATTTAGTGACCGACAACTCAGTCCAAGCCTGTCATTGTCAGAGTTCAAGCATTGTGAATACTGCCAAACCTACTGTCCAAAGGACTGGTCCAAAAACTATGTCTTGAGCTTCTTTCTAAAAGAGAGGAGGGATGAAGCCAACCTAATTTCGCTAGAGAGAGCATTCCACAAGTGGGGGACCACCACCGAGAAGGCCATGTCCCTCGTACCCGCCAATCGCACTTTCGAAGAGGGCGGGACCAAGAACAGGGCCTCCCTACCCAACTGCCAAACAATTTCATTTTCAATAATCAATTTTCTCTCATGGAAGTATCCAGAAGTACTCTCTTTTAAAACAAAGCATGGCCCTCCTTGAAGGGTTTTTACCAAACCAGAAATAAAATCGTGGTCTCTTTCATTTTCGTGGTGTGCCCATGAGTTTGTTGGCTTGCCGCAAAGTTTGACCACCACTGAGCTGAGACCTACAGGACCATATGTTGTTGCTGCTGTTGTGTGTCTTGAAATGGTTCCTGACTTAGGGCAAGTGCAAGGCAAACCTGTTACAGGATTTTAAGAAGAGAAACACAATATTTCTGTTCCATAGCTATATTTCCCTTCATATCTGAGCAGAGCACAGTGATGAAATGCTAAAGAAAAGGGATGTGGGAAAGCATGATGCCCATGATAGGGTCTCACATTTTCTGTCCAAATAAAATACTGCTTTCTTCAATGCCCCCCCTCCCCCATTAATATGAAAACTGGGAAATGTTTCTGCACCTTTAACAGTTATGTAGGGAAGGGAAAGACTATTTGCAGGACAAGCAGGAGATGCAGGAGTACTCTGTAGTTTTCTTACTGGCTACCCGGTCTGGATCATGGTAGATTTGTGTCCCAAGATTGGACCAAATCTATCAAACCATGTAGGAGCCTTTGTGGATCAAACAAACATACATATAAACATATATACATGCTTTGATTTCTATAGAGTGAGATAAGATACAGCCCTATTTTAGGAGATTATAAGGTGCTGGACACTTCTGATCATTTAATGATTAACCTGATCCGGAAACATGGTTAGGCTTTTCAAGGTGCTATTTGCATTCTCTTATTAATTTCTTACTGACCTTGACCTGCTTTTCATTTCACTTTGATAACAGGCGTTTGTTTGTTTTTTAAATGGAAGTTCTCTGAAAAGTTTGTCACCAATGGGAGGGTGGCCTTTTGGGGGGAGGGAAGGTTTTATTTGCTGTTTTGGCAGTCTGCAGCAGTCTTCCTTTAATGAGGCACATTCTTGTCTTTTTTAGTTTTTGCAAGGGAGAGACCTCGGTCACTAGGCACATGAACCAGGACTACTCAAAGTAGACTGTGCCATGTTTAGAAAGGTTTGATAGATAGATAGCATAGATAGATAGCATAGAATCGAATAATTAGACAAATGGTGCCCAACTATTTAGGTTCAAATCGTATACCTGATTTCCATTGGTGTTTGGTTTGATAGCAATAACCGATTAGTTCCCCTAGAATCATAGAATCATAGAATCAAAGAGTTGGAAGAGACCTCATGGGCCATCCAGT